ATCGAGTCCCGCATCGGGCTCCCTGCTCAGCAGGGGGTCTGCTTCTCCCTCTGACCCTCCCCCCTCTCATGTGCTCTCTCTCTCTCATTCTCTCTCTCTCAAATAAATCTTAAAAAAAAAGATGATATTGAGAAATTAAGATGATAAAAGGCTAAGAAGAATTATACAATAAGTGATGATAACTTAAATACAGAGTACAAACAGTTTGATATGACAGAATGAAATTCAAGGAAGAGAACGTCAGGAAATGACTGAATAAATATAGTCATGCAGGCCCTTGAAAGCATAATAAGTTCTTAATATACAATTTAATTTTTCCCTAGCTGATGGGTAGAAAATGAATGAGTATTGAAAGCCTTCCAAAGCAGTGTCTAGAGTTCATGACTACAAAATCTTCCCAAAAATGATGGTTGAGGCATCTAGAATGCTTCAGCTCTGCATATACAGACGTAGTGGATAGAAAAACCACTGTTCTAAGGGACAAGTGAAGAGAACAGATGGCTGCTCACTGCCTCCTCACGTAGGATCATTAAGTGGGCATTCTTTGGGTTCTCACCAAACAAGGAATCTGCCAGTGCCTTGGATCCTAGACCTCCCAGCCTCCAGAACTGTGAGAAATAAATTTTGTTTTTAAGTTACCCAGTCTATAGTATTATGTTATAGCAGCTGTTACAAAGAAACAAGCCCCAAATGGAGTCATTTTTGCTACTCCCTGCCAAGACTTAATACCTAACCTAATTGCCCTTTTAGCCTCTCTTGGAAGTGGGATTTTGAATCAATCAGTCTGGAATTTTCTCATCAGTGCTATGAGGTATAAGACCCCCTGGCTTCCCCTAAGGGAAGGTCAACCTGCCTGAAATAATCCATTCTTTTTTTTTTTTTTTAAGATTTTATTTATTTATTCATGAGAGAGAGAGAGGCAGAGGGAGAAGCAGGATCCCAAGGAGCAGGGAGTCCGATGTGGGACTCGATCCCAGGACCCGGGGATCATGGCCTGAGCTGAAGGCAGACGCTTAACCATCTGAGCCACCCAGGCGCCCCAATAATCCATTCTTTTAACTTCCTTGTCTCTTTCTCATTCTGCCTTCCATTTTGTACAACTCCTGGAGCTCCTTTCTACTTCACAGATGAGATGCTACCCAATTCATGAATTTTCAGATAAAGTCAATCAATTTATTCAACGCAATTGCCTCAGGCCAACTGACCAAGACAGAAATTGACACTGACAAATACTTAAAATTGTGGAAGCAGCTTTGGAATTGGGCAATAATAGAGACCGGAAGGGTTTAGAGGTGCATGCTAGAAAAAAGCCTACATTGCTGGAACGGACCTTTAAAGGTGATTCTGGTGAGAGCTCAGAAAGAAAAGAGCTGTAGAGAAACTCTTCATCTTCTTAGAAGCAAATGAAGTAATCACCAACGGAATGCTGACAGACATACAGAAAACACAGGAGGCACCTGCAGAGGCGGCCTGTACACTTGCTGTGGGCTCCAGGCTGCAGTCACGGCTTCGCAGCAGGCGGTGCGGCGGGTAGCGCCGGGCGCCAGGAAGCGGTGCGCAGGCGCAGGAGCGCACCCGTCGCACTATGTTCTCCCCGGCGGGGTCGGCTCAAGCTAGTGAGTGTGGAGGTTGGACGTTCAGCAGGTATGGCTTGGCTTTTCTGACTGCTTAATACTTAATGACAGAAAAGAGAAACAACTTAAATATGGAATTGTTAAGAAAAAAGGAAGCAGAATTGAGAGATTTGGAAAATTTTCAACCTGGTCATATTGTGAAAAATGAGAGGGTGTGGCCCAGTGGCTCTTTGATGGGGAAGTTAATATGGATGTGAACTCTGGATTTAGTCGCCTCCGGAAGAAACTGCCAGTTTTCACTAAACACGAAGGAGATGGGAAGAAATGAAGGAAGGCTGTGGGATTTCTGGAATTTTATGGGAAGGGACCATAGCTATTTGGCTGCAAATGCTATTCTTTAAGACAAGGAAAGAACGGCTCTGCAGGTGATTTGGAGAATCAGGTCTGGCTCTTCAGTTTCAGATGCGGGAACCACTGCCTTGCTTTCACCGGGTCAGATAGTCACCAACCAAAGCCGTGGGGACAGGGCTACCCAAAGTCATGAGGGTGCCCAAACCAAAGAGGATTATTCTCAATCTCTAAGGTCTAGGTTTTGGACTTGCTTGGGACCTGTCCTGTACTCCTTTCTTCTTTGCTATTTCTCCCTGGTGGAATAGGAATGTCTATTATATGTTAATCCTATCATATTGTTTTGGAAGCACATACCCCATTTGGTTTCACAGGTCATAGCTGGAGAGCAGTTTGCCTCAGGATGAATCTTACTTTTAGTCTCATCCATATCTGATTTAGATGATAGTTACATGCAACTCTGGACGTTAAAGCTGATGCTGAACAAGTTATGATTTGGAGAACTACTGGGATGTGATGATTATTTTGTATGCAAGAACATGGATTTGTAGTGTCTTGGAGTAGAATCCTGTGGACTGTTGTGTCCTTCAAAATACATATATTGAAACCAAAGAGGTGAGGACTTTGAGAAGTAATTAGATAATGAGGGTAGAGCCTTCATGAATGAGATTAGTGTCTTTACAGAAAGAGACCCCAGATTATTCTCTCACTCCTTTGGCTATGTGAGGACACAGAGATGGTAGCTATCTTTGAGCAAGAAATGGATTCTCATCAGACACTGAAACTTGATCTTGGACTTCCCAGATTCCAGAACTGTAAGAAATAAATTTCTGTTGTTTATAAGCTACTCAGTCTATGGTATTCTGCTATAGCAGCCCAAATTGACTAAGACATAGCCCAGTAACATAATGGAAGAATGGTGGGACTGTCCCTTTCAAATTGTAGTAGGTCTCTAATTATGGAGATAAAACTTATTTGGGAAGTAATATAAATCACAGTAAGAAGGGGAAAGCCATAACATGTAATTTTCTGGGTATGTTTGCATTTAAAATTGCTTCTTTTAGCCTAATGCTAAATCAGAGAAATGGAATTCTTAATTCCATGAAGCCTATAGTCTACCTCAGAATTTAGTGTTTTGGGTTTTATTAATTTTTATTCACCTTTGGATTCTGTGATAATGGAGTACCTTTACATGGAGCCTGTGTTAACCCATTAAGAATGAGTTTGCTCATTCTTTATTTTCTTGCAGATATTTAAAATAGTACTCTTTGTATCCTAAAATAAAACAAAATATTTACTCTCAAAAATTTAACAGAAACAAAATAGATCAAGATCATTCAAAATGTTTGAAAAGTGAAATAATAGAATGCATTAGTTTCTGACAGATAATCTCTGAGATTACTTCCTTCTTTATTTCCTATAATATCTCTTCTACAGTTAATTCTCTATAAATTCCTCACATGTTGCCAAGAACACTTTTCTGGTGACCCGGAAACTATCCAACATTTAATAGCATGACTGATATTGTTGAGGCTTTTGGACTAAACAGAGTAAAAGAAAAAGAAATATTTTAAAGAAAACTTAAGTTTATTTCTCTGTTTTATTGTTTCATTTTTGCAAACTGCTTCCTTTAAGTGGTGATGGAAAATTGCAAATTTTCAAAATTTCAGCTGGGAGAAACAGATCTTTGATCTGAGCTCAAACATTTGTTCTCACTTAGCTTCTCTATATTTTCACATGTCCTGTCATTTTCATGGCAAAATTAAAATCTTTGTGGTAGGCATTGATTACCCTTCAAGAAGGGTTTTCAATTCTTCTGGGTACCTCTGAAATTTCACTTTTTTTTTTTTTTAAACAAAATTCACATTTTATTTAGGTTAAAATAAACTATACAAAATTGATTTTCTTCACCAAAAATAACAGCAATATTTTCTGTATTATTCCTAGATAAACCACAAAACACATATTTTTGTAGGTTTTCCAGGTTTTGTTTATAAATCAAGACGAGGCAGTAGATATAGTCATGGAAAAAGAGGAGAACAGACAAATCAGTTGTCAGTATCCATGGCCTCTGATCCTGTCTTGACCATCAACAGAGGTGTTCAACATATACCTGCTAAAAAGCTTATGAAGACGTAGGTGTTCTACATACACTTGCTAAAGAGCTTATGAAGATGTAGGCTCAACAAAGGAATGTAAACAGCAACAATCCAATGTGGAACAACAATGGCAGGCTCTCCCATTCAAACTTTAACTGTAACTTGTTCCTTTAAGTTTATTTGATAAAGACAAAATCTCTACTGCAATCCTTGCCTGGCAAGCTAATGTGTTTCTCTCTCTCTGTCTCTGTCTGGTAACTCCCTTAACTGTCCATTACAGATTTTTAACATACTAACACTCCTACTATTCAAAGGTCACTCTGAGCTTCATTGTAACATTTTATAAAATGTACTCCTTCCTTCCATACCTCTTCAAAATCTTTATCTTCTAAGAACTGATAACTCAATACCAGACAATTGGATCCAGTGACAATAAATGTTTTATCTAAAATGACTTAACTAAAACAATTCCCAAGTGCCATTAGCAGAGATCCCACGGAAGTATAATGTGGCACTTTCAATGCTATCTTCTGGAACAGGTATGTCTCCAAAGCATGAGAGTTTAAACAGGGGCCATTTAAATTGGCAGATTATCAATGGCTAATGTACTCAATGAGAGGTCGACAGGTCAAGATATTCAGTGATTAAGTGGCCTACATACACCTGACAGCTTTTCTGTAAGATGTTTTCAAATTTCTTACAGATTTTTCCAAATATCAAACATAAGAGAAAGCCTACTTTAAAAGTCTTTTAGGTATTTTCAATGGTTTCTGAGTTATCTGTAGGAAGCTCTAACTCAGTTGTATAGAGTTTGATATACGTGTCCACCATTAAATCCAGATCATGTTTTATATCAAAATTTATGTTAAGCAAAGCCAAGTTACTTGACCTTTGGTCTGTCAAAGTGTTCCTCAGGTATGCTTTGAGACGCTTTCGCCCATTTTCATAGCGTTCATTCTCAACCTTCATCACAGGAAGAATACATAGGACTTTTAGCAATGCATAAACATTAGGAAAAAACTTGATGTCTGGTAGATGCAGGGCTTCATAAATGGTGGATGGAAGCTCTATATCTTTCCCTCTGTGTTTCCACTTGATTCTCCAGCAATGCAGCTCAGCTGAGAGTGTGTCGGGATTGGGCAAGTCACTTCTGTACATGTCAGCATGGTGCTCCTCCGATGTATTAAATTTGAGCTGTCCCATGACAGAGGGTACAAGAGATAAGCATTT